TCAAGATCATGACCTGAGCCGAGATCAAGAGTCATATGCTCAACTGACTGTGCCACCTAGGCGCCCCCAACCCTCCACCCTTTTAAACTTACCTAAAGTGGGTTTGTTTTGAAAACAAAATTTCTGGGAACTTTTAATTGGTGTGTTTAGATCATTTACATGTAATATAATTATTGATATGTTTGGATTTGGGTCTACCTTTTTTTTTCCCTCTTTGTTCTTTCTGTTATCCCTCTGTTTCCCTTTTCCTGCCTTCTTTTGGGTTAGTTAAATATTTTCTAGAGCTCCATTTTAACTCATATATTGTGTTTATCTTTTATCTTTTTGTATAGTTGTGTGTGTGTGTGTGTGTGTGTGTGATCTCTCAGGGATTACAATATGCATACTCCAGTCTTCACAGTCTATATAGAATTAATACTTACCACTTACAGTGAAATGTAGAAACCTTATCACTATATCAGTCTCTTTACCCTCACCTTTAAATTAAAAAAAAAAAAGTACACTAGTGGTTCTTGACATATAAGTTTATGCATTAAAATATACAAGTCTCAAATGTATCACTGAGTGAATTTTGATACTCTCCTCTCTGTATGTTGTAGTCATATATACTACATCAATATACATTGAACTCTACTAGACAATGTTATAAATTTTGTTTTCAACAGTCATGTGTGTCTTTAAAAATATTTTTAAGTGTATGTTTGTTCATTTGTTTATTTATTTATTTAGAGTAGGGGAGGGGGAGAGGAGAGAGAGAGAATCTCAAGCAGGCTCCATGCCATCAGTGCAGAGCCTTACTCGGGGTTTGATCTCAGGAACCGTGAGATCATGACCTGAGCTGAAATCGAGTTGGATGCTTAACTGACTGAGCCACCCAGGCACCCCCACAGTTATGTGTATTTTAAAGATCAAATTGGGACTCCTGGGTGCCTCAGTCAATTAAGCATCTGACTTTGGCTCGGGTCATGATCTCATGGTTTGTAAGTTCGAGTCCTGCACCTGGCTCTGTGTTGACAGCTCAGAGCCTGGAGCCTGCTTCAGATTCTGTCTCCCTCCCTCTCTCTGCCCCTCCCCTGCTCACGCTCTGTCTCTCTCAAAAATAAATAAACATTAAAAATTAAAAAAAAAGATCAAAATCTTTTCAGTGTGTTACTCTTCATTACCAAAATTCCAGTTTTCCTTCTGCTATCACTTCCCTTCCATCAAAACAACGTTTAGCCTGCTGGCAACATACTGTCTTAATTTTGCTTCATTTGAAAATGTTATTTTGCTCTCCTTGATGTGTATTTTCATTGGATATAGAATTTTTGATTGACAGTTTTATCTTTTTTTCCAGCACTTTAAAAATGCTGTTTCTTTGCCTTCTGGCTTTCATGATTTCTGACAAGAAACTCATTATCTTTTGTATCAATTTTTATGATGCAGTTTTTCAGAGACTCTTTTCAAAAAATTTAAATTTCGGGGTGCCTGGGTGACTCAGTTAAGCGTCTGACTTCGGCTCAGGTCATGATCTCACAGTTCATGAGTTCAAGCCCCACATCAAGCTCTGTGCTGACAGCTCAGAGCCTGCTTCGGATTCTGTGTCTATCTCTCTCTCTGCTACTCTTCTGCTCGTGCTGTCTCTCTGTCTCTCAAATAGACATTAAAAAATTAAAAAAATTTTTTTTTAATTTTAGTTTTCAGCAGTTCAATTGTGATGTGTCCAGGCACGGGTTTGAGATTATGCTGTTTGGGTTCACTGTGCCTTCTGAACCTGTAAATTTATACCTTCTCGAAAGGCATAAATTTGGAACGTTCCCAGTCATTATTTCTTCAAAAATTCTTTCTTTCGGGGCGCCTGGGTCACAGTCGGTTAAGCGTTCAACTCTTGATCTCAGCTCAGATCATGATCTCACAATTTGGGAGTTCGACCCCCACATTGGGCTCTGAGCTGATTGTGTGGAGTCTGCTTGGGATTCTGTCTCCCACTCTCTCTGACCCTCCCGTGTTCTCTCTCTCAAAGATTAATAAACTTAAAGAAAACATAGTGATCCTAGGACCTTAAATTAATAATGCATTTCTGTGTCAACATCTATTTTGTCTCAAATTAAGACAGCTTGTCTTTCTTCAGATTCATGCCTGCCTTGTATATCCTTTTCTATTCCTTTAGCCTCAGCTTTCCCATGTCCTTGTTTTAGGTGTGTTTCTTCTAAAGAACATATGCCTGGATTTGAAAGAAATACAATGTTAGTATTTGTCTTACTTTATTTGTTGATAAGTAGTGCTTACTGAAACTGCTGACATATTTGGATGTGCTTTCAAATCCCAGTGTGTCCAGTCTCTGTCAGCATACACGTCAGGGCCGCTCATGTTCTCCAACCCCATGTCCCTTATGGTGGGGATGGTGGTCCTGCCCTCAGTGTTGGGAGATGATGCACATAAATTATTTGGCAGACTGAACAACACATGTGGACGCTCAGTAAAGATTCCTTTTTTCCCCTGACCTCTTCCCCCTTTAGACAAACATGGGAAGACACAAATCTTATGACAAAGTGGGTGCTGGAGATGCTCAGAGCACCAGAGGTGGAGATTCTGCTCTTTAGTGCCAAACACCAGGAGAGTGAGGGCAGGAGGTGGAGACAGATGCTCCAAGTCAGAGCCAGTGGCCAGGCCATGGGTTGGGTGCTGCACAAAGCAGGTCATCTTATTCCTGCTTTACAGATGGGCAGGTCACTGAGGTTCAGGGAAGTCACTTACCCGGGGTCCCAAAAGCAGCCCTGAGGAGGAGTGCTGCTTGCAGTGTGACTTGGGCCTACATCTTTTCCACTTCCTGCGGGCTTGCTGGAGGCCTGTGTGACTGTTTCACCAGCAACGTGTATCTCTCATCTGAGCTTTTCCCTGTTAACATTCTCTGCGTCTCTCAGCCTTGGCTTCACTGTGTGGCAGTCTGCCTGTGGGCAGGTGTATCTGGGACTGTCTCAGAGATACTGACACAAGATCTCTGTTTCCCTGGGTCTCAACCTTCCTGTTCTGAACCTCACTCCTTGGTTTCTGTGACTCTTTACTTGTGACACAGAGGGGACAAGTCCAAGACACAAGAAGAAACACAGGGAGATATGAACAGTACACAACTGTATGGCAGGTCAAATGGTTAACATGCAACGGGATCATCAAAGAGAGGAAGATTGACAACCTGACAGTTAAGAACAGAGGCTGTGACATTCAGTTACAGACATGGACCCTGAAAGAGGGTCAGGGATACAGAACCGTGAGAGGCCAGACAGCGCACTGACAGCATGCTGGCAACCACAGAGTCCATGACACCAGGGGGATTCTGGGGGTGACAGAAAGGGCAGACTCAATATGGTAACATTTTATCAAGGCCACTGTATGCCAGGCTTGTCTGACGGGTGGGGCTCTGGGAAAATCAGATTGCTCTTGCCCTGCAGGGCCCAGGGCTGTTGGGGGAGACAACAATGTAGACATACATCAGGCCAATGCAGGGCGGAGCATGATGACTGCCTCCAGGAAGGCACCGGTCACAGTATATTCATTCAGAAGACACAGGTCAGAGCCTACTGAGTCCTGTGCTATGGGTACTGAGAATAAGACCCAGCCCCTGCTTTTGGAAGCTCTCAGTGTCTTTGGGAAACAGACTGCGAGCTCTGCAAGGAGTAAATAAACATGACAGGAAGTTGAAGAGAAGTTAAGGAGGTGTTCTGGAAGCATAGAAGGCAAGTTGAAGTCAGCTCAGAGAGGTAGGGGAGGCTTTGTTAGGGAGGGCTATGTGAAACGCCAGGGAGGAAAGAGAAGAGGAGGTTTCCAGGCACAGTTACAGAGGCACGTAGGTGGGAAAAATATGGCTTCTTCAGGAACCACAAGTAGTTCCACGTGACTGGTGTGTGGAAGGTGGAGGGACTACGATAGACAAGGCTGGGGCCAGGTCACAAATGATCATAAATGGCAGGTGAAGGAGTTTGCCATTATTCCCACAGGGCAGTACTCTGAAACCATTTTCACATCACTGCACACACACAAAAATGACAATATTCACATGTACATATGAGGGTACCTGGAGAGCTTGTTCGGGGCTCAAAGTGAGTTATGTCTTGGCATACTTATAAACCATTCAGGAAGGTTTGCCGTAGAAGGTACACTGAAGAGCTTTCTGCCATGGAGTGACACAATCAGGTTTGGGTTGTAGAAAGAGCCCCCTGGTGTGGAGAATCAAACAATGGGAGAGGTCGGGGGAGAGAATGAAGGCAAGAGACCCCAGATAGAATCCAGATGAGAGGTGATGAGGGCTCACAGAAAGTGACGAAGGTGGAGAAGATGATTAGAGGTGAGTTTTCAGTAAAACCAACAGGGCTGATGACTGATGGGATGTGGAAGGGGAGGGCAGGGAGAAATGGATGCTGGGCAAGCATCAGGCTGCACCCTCGATTAAGGGAGATTGTGAAACAGACAGAGGGCCCGGAGAAGGCCTCACATAAGAGGCAGCCTCACAGGTTGGGCTTAGAGTTAGACGTGAATAGGTGGAGTGAAACAATAGGCATGAAGGCACGGAGGTGGGCGAGGGCCGGTACCCCTCCTGGGCTAAACAGGGGAGGAAAAGGCAAGAACAGCTATATGGGAACATGAAGCTGGAGCCCTCCTGCCCAGAGCATCTTGGGACCACTGAGTCCCAAAAGAAACTTCACTTGCCCTGGCTCTGAAGACAAATCCAAGTCCTCACCTCAGCTGTCCTTTCTCTGAGATGGGCCTGAGTGGGGTATGGAGGGCAGCAGGATCCTTCTGGAAGCTTCTCCAGATGGTTTGAATAGCTTTGTGTTCATTAGGCCCCTCCATCGGGGTCTCCAAATGCAGAGTTGTTCCCAGACAGCCCCAGAGTCTGCCCTTTAGCACCTCATCATTTTGGGGTACTATCACCCACCCCATTCTTTGTTCTTTTGGAACTCAGGGTTTTTCTTAGATGTTGAGCCTCTGAGGGGAGGATACTGTGTCCCGAGGGTTCTCTTGGGTTACTGCAGTACTGTGATGTGGATCCTCAGGTGAACCATAAGGGCTGAGCTGCGGCTAAAGGCCTTTCCACAGTCGCTGCACTTGTACGGCTTCTCTCCTGTGTGGATTCTCTGGTGCTCAATGAGGGAGGAGCTCTGTGCAAAGGCCTTCGGACAAACCTTACACTGATACGGCTTCTCTCCAGAGTGGATTCTCAGGTGGCGGATCAGAGCTGAGCAGTCACTGAAGGCTCTTCCACAAGCGTCACACTTGTAGGGCTTCTCCCCGGTGTGGATGCGCTGGTGCTGAGTCAGGTGGGTGCTCTGGCTGAAGGCCTTCCCACACTCGTCACACTCATAGGGCCTCTCCCCTGTGTGCACCCGCTGGTGCTGGGTGAGATGGGTGCTGCGGCTGAAGGTTTTGCCACATTCCCTGCACTTGTAGGGTTTTTCTCCAGTGTGGATCCTCTGGTGCTGAGTTAGGTGGGTGACCCGGCTGAAGGCCTTCCCGCACTCTTTACACTCATGGGGCTTTGCCCCCGTGTGGATGACTTGGTGCTGGGCCAAGTGAGTGCTCCGGCTAAAGGCTTTCCCACACTCACTACAGGTGTAGGGTGTCTTCCGAAAATGGCTCTTCTGGTGTGCTTTGAGGGCGGAGGGGCTCTGGAATGTTTTCCCACATTCACCACACTTGGAAGACTTCTTCCTTGAGTATACACATGGCGACTCCATCCCATAACCATCCAATGGATCAAATTTCTCTTCTGGTGTCTTCTCTTGTGAGATGAAATTTGGCCACATGTTGGGACTATTCCCCAAGGCACCAGGTTCACAGCTGGTCTGGTCTGTGGGAACATCCTTGTGAGGCTCTGAAGTTTTCCTGCAATCCATCTCTTGGGGGACAGACTTTGTCCAGATTTCCCCTGAGAGTCCTGCCTGCCTCTCTGAGCTGCCCTCAGGTTCACGAGCATCATCAAAGGCAGGTCCCAGGGAACCACCTCCCGCGAGGGTTTCAGTGGCCCTACCCAGTGGCTCGGACTCTTCCAAATCATTCTGCTTGCAGCTTGACTCTGAGAGCTCAGCTCCTGGTTCCTGTCCTGAAACAACCCAAACCACAGTGTCACCACTATTTCCACACAGGGCTTTCCCCATTCTGCCTGGGTCGTGGTCTTACTCTGTAAGGAGACAAATGGCCACTCCTGACATTTGGCCCCATTTCCAAAGTAAAGTTTCCCATTTGGTGTCCTGGATGACAAAGGGCATAGGGCTGTGTTCCCACACCATCAGAAACTGGATCACAGGTTCCAATCCTCCCCCACCCCCCACCCCTGAAACTCTCCATTCTTCAAGGCTGCTGATTTGGGCTCAAGTGTCAGAAGGAAAACCCTAAGGTTGAACTGATCTGAAAGAATGAGAGTAAGTAAGCACACACAGGGGGTTGCCCTTGCCAAGTGCCTATGTACTTACTCCCCCTCGGGAGGCCCCAGCTCTCAGTGCCTTAGCCCTGGACGTAAAAAGCCTACCGAGCATTTTCTGCAGGTGACAGTAAAGACTGGCTGAATGAGGGAAGCAATTCCAGATGCTGGCAACTGTGCAGTTTTCCACAGGAGAATCTACCTCGAGCCCCAAGTTGACAACCACTGCTGAGGGTGAGTGGGTGACAAGCCCACCTGGCGTCCCTAAGACCCTGGGAGGCCTGAGGCCCACTCTTTATAAACTGCTGTAAAGGTGGAGTGTGGTTGAAAGGTAGTTGGAGACTGGGTTGTGTATGAGGTCAGCCTGAACTGACCTTTGAATTGAACTGACCCTTGATGGGTGCATAAGGCACCGGGGCACACTTAATAGCATCACGTACTGGACAGATTCCAGGAAGAGATGGGAGCAGGCCGAATAATTGCTGCTCAAGTCCACAGTGGAGCCCCAGCCCTGCCACGAGCCAGCTCCAGAGCGTTGGGCAATCCTGCCCTCATCTGGACCTGTAAGAGAGAGCTACTATACTGCTCGCCTGCCAGGGCTGCTGGTCATCATTAGGCTCTCCAAGCACAGTGGGTAACTTCCATTGCCTCATTTCACCTTCAGTCTGCTCCCACAAGGACATACTGGAACACTGCATTTCAGACAAGGAAACTGAGACCCGGCTGAAGGAAGGTCTTGAGTACTCAACTGGTACAAGATCACACAGTTGGCTGGTGGTCAAATTGAAATTTCAGGTATAGATTTCAGACTTCTGGGGTGCCTGGGTGGCTTAGTCGGTTAAGAGTCCGGCTTCAACCCAGGTCGTGATCTCATGGTTCGTGAGTTCTAGCCCCATATCGCATCAGGCTCTCTGCTGTCAACGCAGAGCCAGCTCTGGATCTTCTTTCCCCTTCTCTCTCTCTGCTCCTTCCCTGCTCATGTGTTCTCTCTCTCTCTCTCTCAAAAATAATAAAAATTGAAAAAAAAAAAAAAAGAGTTTTTAGACTTCAGATTTTGTCCTCTAGGCCCACACATGTCCTCCTAACTACCCAGCCTCCTCAGTCATATGCTTGGTCCCACATCCCTCTTCTTCCTCTATTCCAGCAACATTGCCCAACTGCTCTTCCCAGAATGTACCAGTTCGTACCACCGGGTCTTCACCCCCACCATTCCCTTTGCCTGGACTTCCACGTCCTTCTCCTTATCTCAGTGCCATACTGCCCTTTCTCTGAAGACTTTCTTGACCCTTCAAGAGGATGTGGCCACTATCCCCTCTCCCTGTCCCTGTGACCTCTGCCTGGCAGAGCTGATGGGCCCAAGGGAAGGCACATGACCAACCTCTCCAGAAAGGTCTGTTTCTCGAGGAGCTAAACAATTATCCTAACAGCTACAGTTTCCACTGTGTTTAATCTGTACCAGACACTGTTACATGTGCTGCACAGGTGATGCTTCATTTACACCTCTCAATGACACCGAGGTAGGTATTATGAACTGCAATCGCCATTTTATTGACAGGGAAACTGAGGCACAGGAAAGTCACATGGCCAGGAGGAGGAGCTGTGGTTGGATCTACCAAGCCTTCATGATATTTCTGTTCTTTCTACTCACTGCACGCCTCCTCCCTAGAGCCTGGCATACACACACTATCTGCTATCATCAGGCAGGGCCAGGCCGGGCCCTTCCAGGAAGAGCCTTCACTCCCTGCTCTGGACTGCATCCGCTGGGACCTCCCTGGGCCGAGACATCTGTGTAGGTCCTCCAGAGCAAAGGTGCCCACTCTAGCCTAGGGCAGGTCTGACACACACAGATCCTGGAGGCCAGCAGAGGGAGGACACAGATCCTGGAGGCCAGCAGAGGGACACATGGAGACACCTGGCATTTTTGTCATCCCCTCCCCTGCTATAAGCTTCCAGCCCCCTCATCTGGGGGTACCAACAGCCTGGTTTTCCTTATTCACGTCAGTCCCTGAGATCTGGTCAGCCAAAAACAAGCACAAGACCCCAACCAGTTCAGTGGGACTCAGCCCAGGAACCTTTTACTGTTCTCCCCTGGGTTGCTGAGCCAACCATGTCTCCACTGAGGAGAGAAGCTACTTAAGAGTAAAGCTAATGTAGGAAAACCCAACTGAGAAACAGAACGAGAAAAAAAGAGTCCTGACGCCATCCACTGAGCTCCTGGATACAGCCAGGAGCTCCCTACTTTGCTGCAGTCAGTTTGAGCTTGGTTTTTGGACATTAGCAGTCAAAACAGATCTGCTTAGCACAGTGTGTGAGTTTGGGTGACGTACAAAGATGACAACAAGTGTGTGTGTGAACGACCCCAAACCCAAACCCTGCACTCCCACATTCCAGTCCAGGCTCTGCCCACAGTGTGCTGCAAACAGTCGCCTGTTGTTCCTTCTCACCTCTCTTGTCCAGTGACCGAGTCAGACCTTCTACCAGCATGGCAGCCTCCTCACCACTCTTGGGGAACTGGGCACCCACCCATGACTGGATCTTGGGTGGCAGTGCACCCAGGAACTGCTCCAGCACCAGCAACTCTAGCATCTGCTCCTTGGAATGTGCTTCAGGCTGCAGCCACTGGTGGCACAGTTCACGGAGCTGGGCCAGGGCCTCATGTGGGTTGGATGCCTCCTCATAGCAGAAGCGCCGGAAGCGAAGACGTGCAGCCTCAGGGTGGACAGTGTGGCCAGGGCTAGATTCCTGGACCTCAGAGAGGCTAGCCTCCTCATCCTCCACCTTCACACGTAGGAAACCATCCTGTTCCCAGGGCATGGGGCTCAGAGGGCTCTTGGGGATGGCCATCAAGCAGCAGCACTCCAGTGAGGCACAGAATGGCTGGAACGTTGGAACCGGGTCTGCAGGAATGTCAGAACTCTGTCATTATGTGGAACTTGGGGCTCTGCTCACATCTGTAGAGCAGGGCAGATGCAGGCTTGGGGCCTCTAAGAGTGACTCTCTCACAGAGACACAGATGTTCAAAATAATCAGATGCCTAAGCACCATGCTAAAAGTTTGCATATAGTAACTCATTTAAAACTCTAAACAAACTCAGGAGGTAAGAATTTCCTTTCCATTTTGTGGATATGAAAACAGATATAGAGGAGGAAAAGATTCACCCAAAGCTTCTCAGATACTGAACAGATTGGGAGTTGCTGAGCTACAACCCAGGCAGCCTGACCCCATGGCCAGTTTGCTTATGGTGTGCTCCTCCCACACAGAACCAGATCTCTCTATCTCACACACTCCCTAGGTAGCCACATGGTCATTCCTTCACTTTTCCCTTGCTAATTATTTTGGTTTCTGAGATGGATACTTAAAAATAAATGACTTTCTGCCTTCCTTTCTTTCCTCTTTTTTTTTAAATTTTATTTTTTATCTTTTAAAATTTACATCCAAGTTAGTTAGCATATTGTGCAACAATGGTTTCAGGAGTAGATTCCTTAGTACCTCTTACCTATTTAGCCTATCCCCCCTCCCACAACCTGTCCAGTAACCCTCAGTTTGTTCTCCATATTTATGAGTCTCTTCTGTTTTGTCCCCTCCCTGATTTTATATTATTTTTGTTTCCCTTCCCTTATGTTCATCTGGTCCTCTTTTTTTTTTTAATGTTTATTTATTTCTTAGAGAGAGAGAGCATGAGAGCGAGTGAGAGTGGGTGCCGGAGGGGCAGAGAGAGAAGGAGAGAAAGAATCCCAAGCAGGCTCCACACTCAGCACGGGGCCTGATGTTGGGCTCGATATCACCATTGTGAGATCATGACCTGAGCCAAAATCAAGAGTTGGACACTTAACCAACTGAGCCACCCAGGTGCCCCTCCTCTTTTCTAATACATGTACTTAAGGCTGTAAATTTCCCTCTAAACACAGCTTTAGCTACACATCTATAAGTTTAATGTTGCATCTTCATTATCATTTAATGAGTTCAAAATATTTTCTAATTTCTGTTGTGGTTTCTTCTTGACTCCTGGGCTATTTGGAAATCTGCTACTCATGGGGCACCTGGGCAGCTCAGTTGGTTGAGTGTCCAACTTCACCTCAGGTCATGATCTCACAGTTTGTGAGTTCAAGCCCCACATCAGGCTCTATGCTGACAGCCGGAGCCTGGAGCCTGCTTTGGATTCTGTGTCTCCCTCTCTCTCTGCCCCTCCCCCACTCACATTCTGTCTCTCTTGAAAATAAACATTAAAAGTTTAAAAAAAAATAAAAAAGAAAAGAAATCTGCTACTCCATTTCCAAACAACTACGGTTGTCTAGTTGTCTTTTTATTATTGATTGCTAGATTAAGTTTGTTGTTCTCAGAAAATGTGCTTTAGTCAATTTCAATCCTTTGAAATTTGCTGAAACTTGGTTTGTGACCCAGCATATGGTTAACTTTGGTCAACATTCCACAAAAACTTAAATATCCACATAAACTTAAAAATAATGCAAAAAAAAAAAAAGTACTATCATACAATCCAGCAATTTCACTTCTGGGCATTTATCCAAACGAAAATGAAAACACTAACTTGAAAAGATATATTAACCCCTATATTCACTGCAGCATTATTTACAATAGCCAAGATATGGAAGCAACCTAACTGTCCATCAACAGATGAATGGATAAAGAAGATGTGGCACCCATACATACAATAAAATATTACTCAGCCATAATAAAGAACAAACAGCATGGATGGACCTTGAGGCTATTATGCCAAGTGAAATAAATTAGAGAAAGATAAATACCATATGATTTCAGCTATATGTGGATCTAAAAAACAAAACAAATGGACATACAAATCAAAATTAGATTCACAAATACGGACTGATGGTTGCCAGAGGAGAAGGGGATTTGGGACTGGGTGAAATGGGTGAAAGGGATTAAGAGGTGCAAACTTCTAGTCATAAAATAAATAGGTCATAGTGATGTAATGTATAGCACATGGAAAATAGATAATAAAATTGTATTAACTTTGTATGGTAAGAGATGGTAACTAGATTTATTATGGTGATCATTTTATACTGTATGTAAGTGTTGAATCACTATGTTGTACAGCTGAAACTAATATAATATTGTATGTTAACTATACTGGAATTTTAAAAATGCAAAGCCTTCCTGGATAAATGATAAAAAATAAACAACTTGATCAAAATTAAAACGTTTCATGATTTGAAGGACATCATCAAGAAAGCAAAAAGGCAACCCACAAAATGGCACGAAATATTTTCAAATTAGGTATCTGATAAGGAATACGTATCTAAACAACTCCATGGTAAAAAGATAAATAATCCAGCTAAAGAATGGGCAAAGGTTGGGGCGCTTGGGTGGCTCAGTCAGTTACGCATCCGACTTCAGTTCGAGTCATGATCTCATGGTCTGTGGATTCAAGCCCCGCATCCGGCTCTGTGCTGACAGCTCAGAGCCTGCAGCCCGCTTTGGAGTCTGTGTCTCTCTGCCCCTCCCCCACTCACGCTCTGTCTCCCCAAAATGAATAAACGTTAAAAAAAAATTAAGAGTGGGCAAAGGTTTTGACTAGACAGTTCGTCGAAGAAGATACACCAATGGCCTGTAGGCAACATGAAAAGATGCTTGACATCATGACTACCAGAGAAATGCAAATCAAACCCACAGTGAGATACCGCTTTACACCTGCTAAGATGGCTAAAATCAAAAAGACAGATAACAAATGTTGGTTGGCACATGAGCCGTGGTCTTGGGCACAGGGAGGAGCAGAGGTTAGTGAAACAAGACCCCAATCCTGCAACTTTTCAGCGGCAGGTGGCAACTTCTCACAAAACTGTGTTCTAGCCCCTAACTCCACCCTGAGGCTCGCTTGGGCTTCTTGTCCCCTTGCCCTTACCGTTATCCCCGATCCCCATCTTCTCAGCCTTTGCCCCTATTATTCTTTTGCTCTAAAATCTCTTTGCACCTAATTTTTCCCGGTCCTCCAGACTGCACTTTATCTGCCGTCTTCTCCAAGAGTTGTAGGAGCACTTGAGAGCAAGCTGAGTATCCTTCTGAGTGCCCTGGGTCTCTCTTTTCCCAGCTCTGGCTAGAACCACATGTTGCCCCAGAGAGACTGAGCACACTGGAGCCCACAGTGCCCAGAGCACGGCCTATGTCAAGTGCATAATACACAGGTGCTGAGCAAATGGAGGGACCAGGAAAGGCTGAGCATGGTCACCCACAGATGTGGGGAGTCACTGTACAGGGGAGGAGGAGCAGGAATGGCAGGGATGACGATAAATGCAGCAAGATTCCAAGCTCCCTTTTCTGCACCCCTGAAACTCCTGTTCTGGAAAATCTGAGACATATGGACCCATCCCCCAACGTGCTGACCTCACATCAGGTCAAGGTCCCCGATCCATGAGTGTTCAACCAACTGAGCAGAGCCGTTCTTCCATTTCTCTGTCCTTGCGAGTCACCGACCTGGTAAGTGGCACCTACCTCAGAGGGCTGCTGTGAGGTTACCCAAGGCGATCCGCGACAAACGTCCAGTACCGGCCTGGCACACTGCAGACACGGGGTGAACAACCAACCTGACACTCCACAGCCTCCTGCCAGACTCGGGCCCACGGCCGGTGCTGGGGAACATATCCACAAAGCCGGCTGGGGACCGCGGTCAATTCCGGCTGCAGACAGGCGGAAGCGAAACTCTCCGTCGCATCCTTGGCAAACTCTGCAAATCACCCGCATCTCAGTACCCTGACAAAATCTTAGCCCCGCAGTGACAGGCGCACACCCTGCCTCAGGCACCGTGTCAGCCACCCAGGAGCACACTTCTGTGTCACTCACCAGTGGAATTCCCCCACAGTCACTCACAGTCCCTGACCACCGTCTCAGCCAGGGACGCTCTGCGTCCCGCCTGAAGTCACGCGGCCGGCCGCACCCCCGCGCTCTCCTCACATCACACGACACCCCCGCGAAACCTCCGACCCCCGTCGCCGTCAGCCGCACCCCACGTCCGACGGTCACCCACTGCCACGCTGTCGGTAGGAAGCGCACACCCGCACGCGCCGACGCAGAAGCACAACCTCTCAGGCACACACACAGCCGGCCAGTCGGTCCCACGTGCGACCGGTGAGTTCTACACTCGGTCTGCGCGTCGGTCCCGCTCACTGCCCGTCAGTCGGTCCTCCAGGCGCGCCGCTCGCGGTCAGCACCTCAGTCCCCGTCGGCGGGTCGGCCCCGCAACACCCGGCTCAGTTCGCCGCCAGCGCTGGCGCCTTCCCGGCCTGGGACGTTTCTTTCCGGCCACGACCCCCGCAGACCCCACCCAGGCCCACCCCACACGCCCGGCGGCCGCCACTTCCGGGAGCGCGCACTGAGGCGCCACACACGGGCAGGGCCGCCTGCGCGCCCGCTCGCCGGGACCACAACTCCCAGGATGCGCCGCGCTGCCCAGCAGGCGCCCGTGCGCGCGGACCGCAACTTTGAGCTCGCGTCGCGTCTTAGGCTCCACTGCCCCAGTGCCGCCCTCCCGCCCTCCTGGACTACAATCACCCGAAGGCCCCGCGCCCTCAGCCCGCGCCCCCTGGGGCACGCCGGGGGTTGTAGTCTCTGCAGGGCAGTGGGTAGAAGGCTGGGCCTTTGTGGGGTTGTGGTG